AAAGTTATCCTCTTCGCTACTATTGCCTCCAGTTTTATAGTTGCCTACTTTGCTGCTACCTTCAGCTTCTTCTGTCAAGAGCTGTACACCACACTCAAGAACCTCGCAGTCGCAATAATCGTCTTCCAGCCAGCTGATAAACTCAAACAGAATGTCACTTGTATTCAAATCAACTTCATCATGGCATACGCTTTGTTGAATTAGAGCATCACGGAATATAAGTAGATGTTTTGATAGACATATAGCATACATAGTTTCAGGCACTCCAAAATTGTAGACTTCGTTTATAACGACACCACCTTTGCTTCTTATACGACATTTTATTTGAAAATCTCCCCTCTTCTTCATTGGCGGAAGCACAAGGCAAGCCTTAAATCTTGAGAACACAGAGTTCGGAGGCAGATGGATGGTTATGGAGTTTCCTCTGGCTTTGTGAATGTACTCTGCTGGCACTTCTTTACCTGGTAACAATACATACCCGTCAACCCTTGGTTGTGTAATTACTCTTCTTGATTCTTCATCCAGGTTCACACAGTTGTAGAACATTAGTTCCCTTACTAGGTCGTGGAAGTAGTAACGTACTCTCTTTAGTGATACACAATTGTTTGCATCTAGGGACTTGAGGGAAGGGGGAAGACCTGGAATTGACACGAGTTTCTTGCAGTTTTTGATGATGAGATTTCTTACATGCTGGAGACCAATGATGCAATCTGGAATCCTCTTAATATCACTGTTGCTTAGATCTAAAGAAGTTACACTTAGTGGGACATGTGTTAATCTCTTGAGGCTTTGGCTGCCCATCTCAAGCCTGCTAAGACAAAGCCAGCTTCCAGAAACGGATGCAGGAACATCTTTTATCTTTGTGTTTCCTACATTAAGGTGAAAGATGTTGCTTGAAAGATCTGGAAAAGTTCTCAATTGCGAGCAGTAACTCATGTCCACTCTCTCAAGAGATGCTAAGTTGATGTTGCTGGGAAGAACTTGTAGCTTTTCACATCCCCGCATGGATAGCGTTTTCAGTTTTTGTAGATTCGAAATAGAGGATGGAATTTCCACCAATCTTCTGCATCCCATAAGATCCAATGTCTCTAGACTAGTAGCCTTTAGAAGATTTGGGATTTCTTTCAATTTTTTGGAATGTACCAAATCTATCTTCTTGAGATTTGGAAGAGGCTACATGTCACAGACAACAAATGAGGAATACCATACTTAGGTTAAATCATTAAAAACATATTCACAAATATCAAATACCAACCTGGATTCCTCCCCATAGCTTCTCGAGCTTGCTAAATTGCATGTGGAGCTCCACCAAATGTTCCGGCTGAAATGTTTGAGGAAGACTTGTTCTCGGGTATGAATTCCATTGTAGTGACCTTAGATGAGGTAAATACTCCATGTCCTCTAACAAGTTGACTTTTCCATTGTAAAATCTTAAGAATTTGAGATTACGCATCCCTTCAAAAGCTCGCTTACTTATAGTGAACTCACCGATCTTGGACATATCAGATGATATACCAATGACAGATCCAGTACCCTACCAAATATTTTAAAACAAGACCCATGAAATTGTAATCACAAAATATAGGCAATTTCTTGGGAATGTATAATGTATATGTACGAACTTACTGTTTCATTTTCGAGTACATCACGAATCTCTTCAACTTCTACTAAAAACTGACGCTTACCAGGCTCATTAGACTGTTCAGTGACTATCTGTTTACCCAATTGTTGTAGTAAATAGTGCATCACTATCTGTCCACGAGGTAATATATGCACAAGAGACCTATCGGCTAGGTTCTTCAACCCATTTCCAACATCCAAAATAGTGTCAGCGAGCATGGTTGTCACATGATCAACATTTTCATCTTTAAAGAAGCATGCAATGTGAAGGAATAAAGATTGATCTTTATCAAGCAATCTGTCATATCCAACTCTTAGTACGTCTTCAATTTTTCTATCAAGACTAGTTCCAAGTCTAGATAACTGAAGTTCCCACTCATGTTTGCTCTCCCCACGCAATGACGAACCCACAACACAAAGTCCCAATGGAAGATTACGGCAAAACTCAACTACTTTATTTGCAAGCTCTTTAAAACCATGTCGTACACAACTTTGTTTGAAAGCAGATAGACAGAGAATCTCGAGAGCTTCTTCCTTTGAAGGGAAATCAACATGGTAGATATTGCTGACACCATGTGCCCTCAAAATCTTTTTATCTTTCGTGGTAACTATGATCCGACTTCCAGGACCAAACCAACAAGGTTCATTAGCCAAGGTCTCTAATTGCTCAAGATCACCAACATCATCAAGAATGATAAGGACTCTTTGATCATGTAGCCATTCTTTGATTGCACCTAAATGATATACCCTTATATCCCTTTGGTTCAAAATCTTAGAAAGAAGTTGGCTTTGTAAACACAACTTAGATTCATAGTCATTGACACCCATTATGCTCTTATAACTTCCCTTGAGGTTCCCCATAAAGCATTTAAACCGAAAATCGGTAGAGAGATAGTTGAACGAAGCTCTAGCAATAGTAGTCTTACCGATTCCCGCAGGACCCCAGATTCCGATCATCTTCACTTCATCAGACTCAAGGCATAGCAAAGTGCTTAGTTTTCTCAAGTGAGACTGCAGTCCCACCATCCCCTCTAAATCCCTTGACAGTGTAACATTCAGTTTGTTCAACACATCTATGGCAATCTTTTCGACCATCGCCGCTTCATCGTCCCTAGAAAAAAAACAAGCAAAATCTTACTGATGGGTCTAAATTTGCATAAAATTCATTGAAGTACTGATTAAGAAAGATAAAATCATTCTAATTCATTGAGCTCAAAAGAACAACAAACCAGTTTAGAGAGTGTTCTCCGGCAATGGTTGCTACATATGCCAAAGCTTCGATCCATCTTGTCTTCTCCGCTTCTGCTTTCCCTTCACAAGTTTTCATGAAAGAGCTTCCAAAATCTCCCTTCAGTTTTCTTACATCGGATGGATCAACCTCGTAAAAGATGGTCATCACAATCTGCCCCGAAGCTTCTTTGTATTTCAAGATTTCAACCAATTCATCTAAACACCAGCTTGAAGAAGCGTAGTTCTTTGAGAGAACCACGATCGAGACCCTTGATTCTCTAATCGCTTGTATGAGTTCAGGTCCGATGGTGTGGCCTCTCTCGATTCTCTGATCCTTGAATGTTGTGATCCCTTTGGTTGCAAAGTGATTTTGTAAATGACTAAGAAACCCTTTACGGACGTCTGGGCCGTGGAAACTCGGAAAGACATGGTATCTCCTTACACGAGAAGAAGAAGCCATAAGAGAGGTTGAAGAAAGTATCACAAATGAACAATGACTTTGATAATTAAACTCTCTTTATATATTGATGCAAAAGCGTAAGAGATGTGAATTCTGATTGGTTGGTTTTTTTAGTCAGCGTAAGAGCACTGGATAGGAAACTTCCTCATACTTGTTATTTCGCGGACGACACATAAACAAATAAAGCAACGATAGTGAGGATGAATATGATGTTTAGTGTAAAAAAAACGATAAATCTTGCAAATGGGTTTTGTAAATAATTGCAGACTTTGTGGATTCAAATCAATTGACTTGGTCTTTTTTTTTTTCATTTTAGTATAACAAATAACGAATTAATTACATGTCTGTTTCTTTCGACTAATGCATCAATATTCTTAATGACCACATAACCAAACTAACCGTCGAAAAGATAGGTGGTACAGACCCTAATGATCGTTGTTATCCCCTAAACCCTTCTGACGCTTCTTTGTCACACAATCTATACCACAAGTTTTATAGTTGCCTACTTCGCTGCTAACTTCAGCTTCTTCTGTCAAGATCTGTACACAACAGTCAAGAACCTCGCAGTAATCGTCTTCGTCTTCCAAGTCAAACGGAATCTAACTTCTATTCACATCAACTTCATCATGGCATAAGCGTTGTTTAAATAAAGCATCACGGAATATAAGTAGATGTTTTTATAGACATATAGCATACATAGTTTCAGGCACTCCAAAATTTTAGACTTCGTTAATAAAGACACCACCTTTGCTTCTTAGACGACATTTTTATTTGAAAATCTGCAAGCCTTAAATCTTTTGGTCGCAGAGAAAGCTTACTCGCCACCCGGAGGCAAAGGGATGCATGGTTATGGAGTTTCCTATGGCTTTCTGAATGAACTCTGCAGGAACTTCTTTACCTGGTAACAATACATATCCATTAACCCTTGGTTGTATGATTACTCTTCTTGCTTCTTCATCAAGTATCAAAACAGTTGTAGAACATTAGTTCCTTTATTAAGTTGTGGAAGTAGTAACGTACTCTCTCTAGTGATACACAACTGTTTGCATCTAGGGACTTGAGGGAAGAGGGAAGATCTTGAATTGACACGAGTTTCTTGCAGTTTTTGATGATGAGATTTCTTAGATGAGGGAGACCAATGACACAATCTGGAATCCTCTTAATATCACTGTTGCTTAGGTCTAGCGAAGTTACATTTAGCAGGACATGTGTTTAATCTCTTGAGACTTCTGCTGCCTATCTCAAGCATGTCAAGATATATAAAGCCAGCTTCCAGAAATGGGTGCAGGAACATCTTTTATCTTTGTGTTTCCTACATCAAGACGAAAGATCTTGCTTGAAAGACCTGGAAAAGTTCTCAATTGCGAGAAATAACCCATGTCACATATGTCATAACTTCCACGTCACGTTTATATATCACACATACTGTAATAATTAAAAAAATTTAACAATAAAATATCACAAATTAATGGCCATTGATTTACTCAAAAACTAAGTTTACTTATACACTCTTCATGAAGATTTAAGTGTCATTGGCCAAATATTTTTTTTGCTAAAGGGTTTCATTGGCCAAATATTAGGTTATTATGGCCTCTCACCAAATTCTCCGCGAAAAAAAAAGATAAAAGATGGTGTATATTTTTAGGTTACATGTATAGACAACCAAATCTAAAATCATTAGGAAATAAAAATAAAAAAGTAAATTCTAATACCAAATTCGAAACTGATGTCCTAACTAAAAGGTCGTACAAACTAGTATATAAACCATAACCACAATCGACAAACAATACAATACCAAAATCTAAATTCTAACGATTGAAAAATGGCTTCTTTATCTTCCAGCTTTGTCGTTATTTTTATGTCAATCTTGTTACAATTTCTCATTGTCTCAGCTTCAAGAAAACACATCGACGACATATGCCAACATGTCACCGACAAAGCTTTCTGCGTCAAAACTTTGACCGCATATCCTCCAGTGGTTGCTGCCACCGTCGAGGTACTAATATTCTATTCTGTCTAAATCATTAGATAGACTCATAGAGATATACTGACATACTGTATCACTTGTTTTAATGATTTTAATTTGTATATATAGTCTTTTCATAGAAGTGTAATGAAAAATCCTGATGTTAAATGCAGTTATGAAACTAAATTCATATTTTTTGTAATTGAAATTATGTTCATGTCTCATTCTCAATCATAGACATAATATTTTTTTTCTTGTTTGAATCTGTAGTTAAAAGCGGTAAAGGCCGTGCTCAACCTAGCAAAATCCTATGCCAAGAAGTCAATGAAATTCAGCTTAAAAATGGCAAACAAGAATCCAAAGTTGAAGAAGCAATTCATGGAGTGCCAAGATTCATTTCAAAGAATTGTATTGTCTTTCGCGAGCGCTGCTGGGGAACTCAATGAATCATCGGAAACTGCAAACTATGATGTCATGGTTTGTACCGACCAAACGAGGTTAGTGGAGGATTCGATCGGTAAAAATAGAGACGAGGCTTCAAAGGCTATCATGAGCAGGACAATGATGATGAATGGACTTATTGCTATTGCTGATGCAGCCACTGATCTTATTGATACAGGATATGTATGAGAACATATACCGTCATCAGATTTGCCGTTTTTGTTTTTGGTTTTTTTTTTTTTGGTCAAAGGTTGATGTTATTTAATCTTATGGCATGCAATGTTTTGAAAACTATTCTAACTATTCTAATGAAAAAAAAAAAATTCTAATTTATTGACTCCGAAAGAACAACAAACCAGTTTAGAGAGTGTTCTGGTTGCTACATATATCTGCCAAAGCTTCGATTCATATATATATATATATTTTTTTTTGGGGTAAAATGCTTCGATCCATCTTGTCTTCTCCCCTTCTCCTTTCCCTTCAGATAGGAAACTTCCTCATAGTTATTGCGTTGACGACACATTCAAACAAATAAAGCAACGATACTGAGTATGAATATGATGTTTAGTGTAAAAAACGATAAATCTTGCAAATGGGTTTTGTAAATAATTTCAGACTTTATGGATTCAGTTGACTAGGTCTTCTTTTTTTTTCATTTTAGTATAAAAAATAATCGATTAAATGCCTGTTTCTTTCGACTAATGCATTGGTACGTCGAGATAGACTATTCCATCTTCTCTAGTTGGTATCTACAGTTCATCTCCCTTACGTATAAACAACTTTCTGACCTTATACATATCTAATGATCTAACAGATGCAATCATGCAATACACTAACAAAAAAAAATTAAGAAAGAAGCAATTTTTTTTTAGATTGAACATTAAGGTTTTGGAATATCCTAGTAGTATTTCAAATATATCATATTTTTGGAATATTTCAAACCTATCTCCTTGGAGTTATATTGAATACGATGTCAACACAAAACCTCATATCACATAATTTAATAAGTCCTTGTTAAATTATTAATTTATATTAGAACACAAATCTATTCCTCTAACTTAATTATTTTTTAAAACTTAATAATGTAAGCTTAATATATAGTAAAACTTAATTGAGTTTATTTTAACTCAGTTATATCTTCATCCTTTTGTAGCTTAATTTTTTTCCTTTCTCATTTCTCATCTCTTACGTCACAAACACAAACTTCACTATATAAAAAAAATAATTGAGAGAAAAGACAACAACTTTTTCCTCTAAATTTTACATTATTGAAGTAGATTGGGTTGTCGTTGAGAGTTATAATGGTTGATTACCTTTTGCCTCTTATGTGAATTTACTTTAATTATCCTTAATGAAATTAACAAATTAATATAATGTAATTTTTAATTGATGTTTGTTTTTTTTAAATCTAGATTTCCAAATTCAAGTTTATATCATAAAAATATACAGTTTACTAAAAAACTGAATATTTTTATGATATAAATTCAAATTTAGAAATGTAGGTTTTAAAAAAACGAAATTAATTAAAAATTAAATTATATTAATTTGTTAATTTCATTAAGGGTAATTAAAGTAAATTCACATAAGGGGCAAAAAGTAATCAATCATCATAACTTTCAACCACAGTCCAACTTGTTTACCAATTAATAATAGGGATAAAGAGGTACTGAACAAGATTTGAGGTTTTTATTAGAGAAAGAACAAATGGTTTATACGCTAGAAGGAATTGGCGAAAGGATACCTAAAATAAAAAATTTTATCTTGTATAATTACACCAATTGCCATTCCAAAGCGTAGGATTTATTTTTGATTGGAAAAGATGTGTTATGGACACATAAATGTAATACTAAATAAATGCAATCAGAAAACATTTTAACTTTATTTTGATTGATAATACACCTAAATATCTGAATATAACATCAATTCTATAGTGATTATTGGAGGTGATTCTCCGAACACTATTATATACCCAAACATATGATGTCAGTCACATATGAACATATTATAAGTTAGCTAATAAAATTAACAAGTTAAAATACTATAGATATATATTTATATAATATGATATAAAAATAAGTTAAAATGTAAAATATATATATATAACTTGACATTTAAAAATATATATATGTATTTATTATTCTAGACCTATATATAAACTTATAGATATAGCTTATCTAATAAAAAAAGATAACATGTCAAGAAAACATATAACTCTACATTTAACAATATAGATATATATTAATTATTTTAGATCATTATATAAAGTTATAGATATAGCTTACATGAAGAAACAAATAAGTTAATATGTTAAAAAACATATAACTACATATTTTATTATATGTACATGTATTTATTATTATGTATGAAAACATTCGTTATTTATTATTTAGACATGTATATCCATAAATAGTGTGTGGTTGCATAAACAATTAAAAGAGACATTGAGATTACCGAAGATGAATTCGAGTTCTCCAAAATGTTTAGACATCAAATCAAAAAATTTGTCTGATAAAAGATCGGGTTGGGCAAGATTCTTCACCTCTAACCATGTTTCTTTTGGAATCTCACCAGATCTGCTAAATTGTTAAGATCTAGAGAAGAAAGAGATTTGGAGAGTAAGGTCAAGAGAGAGAATACATATATATATATATATTAAGAAATTGTTAGTAGAGAGAATCAAAAAATTGTTTGCAGAAAAGGATGAAAGCATGACGGAGGAAGATGAAAATGGTGTCCCAGAAGAAAAAATTGGGAAGACATTAACTAACAGAAGAAGACGACATATATGTGTCCAGCTATTTAATTATTAACTTTGGATAGACACCACTTAGACATCTATTAATAATTTTGGATGAATGAAAATGTTCAAAGCGCGTGAAAAACATGAAGATATAATAGTCTGAATATGTGGTTAGTTAATTTCATGTTTAAACTCAAAAATAGGTCTTGTTATTTTCTCAATTGACTACCAGTCTTTAGCCATTTAATGGTATTACCCTTAATAATATGATATTAAGTTGATATGAAACAAATATCCTTTGGTTTTGGTCATTTTGGATTGCTATGTTTTTTTTTAGTGCAAACTTTGAATTTCATTAATCTTAATCTACCAATTTACATCAAAAGAAGAGAATTATTTATCATGTTTTATAAATGCAATAAAACAACAAAGCATACTTATAAATTTTTTATCGGATAATATAAAAGATGTTAAAAATAAGATATAAATAATATATTTTTTTGTCACAAAAAAACAATGATTGTATTTTTCAAATATATTAAGTTTGGTTTCAAATCATTATAAAATCTGATTTTTTATTTATAAATAAACTAATATTATATTTTTTAAAAAAATAATTGAACCTCTTACAAGGTGCGTGGAAAGTGGAAACACCTAATGATAGATTATTTTAGGTTGTTCCTAATTTTTTCAACTTTGTAATATATACTTATTGAATATTGAATGTATGAACAAACTTGTAATATTTTTGTTCTACAGACAGACATTATGAATAGCTAATCGAGCGTTGGCTTTTTCTGTGACCAATTATTTTACCGGTTAAACATCTGACGTCTGAGTATTTTCAAAGACAAGACCTAGACGTCTTGGCGGCCAATTTGTAGATCATTCTTTTAAAGGAAACAAGAGAAATATCGAAACAAATAAAACAAATTGAGACAGAAAAACAGTTGTCAAAACTCAAAAGGTTGAGCAAGACATGAGTTCGTGCATCATAAATCGTTTTTCTATTATTTTTTTTTAGAAAACGGCTTTTATGATGAATTTGACGAATTCATCATAGTTGATCTGACCATCTCCAACAACATAACTTCTCGGATCATCTCTTTAACTTCCTCAAGGTTTCTTCATCCTCAAGTAAGACAAAGCCAGTTTGACGAATTCATCATAGTTGATCTGACCATCGCCATCAATATCAAATGCTCGGATAATATTACTAACTTCCTCATCGGTTAGTTTCTCCCCAATAAATGACATCACATGTCGAAACTCTGCTGCAGATATGAAACCATTCTGGTCTTGATCGAAAGCCCTAAATATTGCCTTCATCACTTCCTCCGATTCAGTGTCCTTCGCAGCGTTATCAAGACACCCTAAAAAGAAAAAAGAGATTATAGAAACTCCACTACCGAATCATCGATTAAGAAAGACAAAAGCGTTCTAAACTCCACCACTGAATCACGGATTAAGAAAGACAAAAGTGTTCTAAATCATTGAGCCAAAAGATACAAGTAACAAACCAGTTACGAGAGTGTCCTCCAGCTATGGTTGCTATACATTCCAAAGCTTCGCTCCATCTCCGCTTCTGTTTCTTTGTTCTCCCTTCACAGCTTTTCTCGAATTCACTCCCGAAATCTTCCCTCTGTTTCCGAACATCAGACCGATCAACATCGTAAAAAACCGGCATCACGATCTTCCCTGAAGCTTCTTTCCACTTCAAGATTTCAACCAGTTCATCTAAACACCAGCTGGAAGAAGCGTAGTTCTTCGAGAGTAAAACGATCGAGGCTATCGCTTCTCTAATGGCTTTTATGAGTTTAGGTCCAGTCGTGAGGCCTCTCTCGATCTCCTGATCCTTGAATATAGTGATTTCTTGCCTTGCGAAGAGATTGTGTAAATGACATGACACATGAGGAATCTGTTAAGGAAATACTATATACGTATAGGATCTCTTTGTATTCATAGTGATTTACCCTACTTGTAACCATGTATGTTTAAAGTTCTAAATCATACCAATTATGCTTTATAAAATCTGTCTTTCCTTTATTTGCTCACAGCCAAAATATTTCTTTTTATATTTTTTTACCTGTACAAAACATTATTTTCTAAAGCACATAAATTTATGTTTTCCAAATTTTACAATTCTACAGCCAAAATTTTAAAGAAACAAAATCTACAGCTACAGCAAAAAAAACTACAGCCATATTTCTACAGCAAAAACATAAAGCTACAGCTGTTACCAATCAAGCCCATATACTTTCTACAGTACATCTCTAATAAAGAATATCATTGAGCCTATTCTCTATATGGTATCAGAGCCATATAATACCTAAAATTTTTTTCTCTTCCTCTCTAAGCCGCCACTTCTCTCTTGCAAATCTAACCATTTCATCAAAATGTCAAACCAGACATCACCAGCTTCTTCAACTGAAACCATCACTGTTTCCGACACCACTATTCTCCTAAATGTCAACATGACAAATATTTCAAAGCTTACCTCTTCCAACTTTATTATGTGGAACCGACAGGTCCACACTCTTCTTGATGGATATGATCTCGCCGGCTACGTTGAAGGCTCGATCATTATTCCCGCAGCCACAGTCAATACACCTGCTGGTGTTACACCGAATCCTACTTACAATCTCTAGAAGAGACATGATATACTGATTTACAGTGCTCTTCTTGGAGCGATCTCCACAAACCTGCAGCCTCTTCTGTCCACAACAAAGACGCTGCTGAGATCTGGAGTACCCTTACAGCAACCTATGCCAAACCAAGTCGTGGCCACATCAAGCAATTGCACCAACAACTCAAACAATGGACAAAAGGCAATAAGTCGATTAATGAGTATTATCAAGGTCTCACTACTCGTTTCGACCAACTTGCTCTCCTAGGCAAAGCTCTTGATCATGAAGATCAACTCGAACATATCCTTGAAGACCTCCCTGAAGATTACAAGACAGTCATAGACCAGATTGAGGGTCGTGACACTTCGCCTACACTCACTGAAGTTCACGAAAAACTCATCAACCATGAGTTGAAACTTCAGTCCTCACACAACACCATCTCTTCTGCTCCGATGTCTGCACACAACATGCAATACAAAGGCCAGAATCACAACAACAGTTCGCCATCAGCGCACAAGTCATGGAGGCTATCAGGATAAACCGACTTGGCAGCAGCAATAGTTTATACCACGACAGAATCAGAACTCACCTCGTGGCTACAAAGGTCGCTGTCAGATCTATGGAATCTATGGGCATAGTGCTCGTCGCTGCTCACAGCTTCAACTACCTGCAGGGTCTTCCTCTCACTCAATGCAATCGATGAATGCACCGTCAACATGGCAGCCTAGAGCAAATGCCGCTGCTGCATCATCTTTTAACCCGAACTCATGGCTTCTAGATAGCGGTGCTACTCATCACCTCACTTCTGATCTGAACAACCTTTCTCTTCACCATCCATACAATGGCGGTGAAGAAGTTGCAATTGCGGATGGCTCCGGTCTACAGATCTCACACATGGGTTCATCTTCTCTCCCTACACCATCTCGTTCACTTCTTCTTCGAGATGTTTTATGTGTTCCCAATGTGCACAAAAATTTGATATCTGTCTACCGTCTATGCAATGCTAACCAAGTGTCGGTTGAATTCTTTCCTGTCCATTTTCAGGTGAAAGATCTCACAACGGGGGTCCGATTACTCCAAGGACGTACAAATGATGACTTGTATGAGTGGCCAACATTTCCATCTTCTTCCCCATCCGCTCTTTTGGCTTCCCCGGACACCAAAACCATCCCTCTTTGTCTACTTTTAAATCAGTTATTTCCAAGTTTTCTTTGCCTTACTTAACAATTTGATGTGATTTTTTTGGTTTATGCGAAAAAATGCGATTTCATAGTTTTCACGAAAAACGTAATTTCTCGGGATATAATACAATTTTTGGTTTTTGCGGGAAATTGTAGTTTATCGGTTTTGGTAGGAAAACGTGATTTTTGGTTTGAGAAAATTTTTTTTGGTTCTGGCGGGAATATACGATTTCTCGATTTTTGCAAGAAAATGAATTTTTTGGTTTTGACGGAATAATATGATTTCTTTGGTTTTTTTAGAAAGATGAAATTTTTGGTTTTGGTAAAAAAACTTGATTTTTCGGTTTTAGCGGGAAAACACAGGTTCTCGCCATAAAATGTGATTTTTTGGTTTTACCGGAAAATGCAATTTTTTTTTGCGGGAATATGCAATTTTTCAGTTTATTAGAAAAATGAATTTTTTTTTGTTTTGATTGAAAATGCGATTTCTCGGTTTTTGTAAGAAGATAAAATTTGTCTGTGCTAAAATTTCAACTAAATTGATATTTCAACAGTTCAAACAGAATTTTTTATTTAGTTTTAAATTAATTGTTTGTAGTTGTAGATCTAAATCTGTTAACGGATTTTAAAATGGTTATCCAAAAAATAACACAACAATAATTGCCACTACCAAAAAGTACTAAAAAAAGCTGCAAATAATAGAGAATCTCTTCTCTTCTTCATCAACTACTAATTGCTTCTCACCAAAACTGTTTAATCAGGATCGGTTGCTCAAGTCTCTCATTGGTTGGCATTATTTTCTCTCTGAGTCGACATTGTTCTCTCTTTGTGTAAACGAACGGTTCCTTTCGGCAGATATCCTTTAGCTAGCGATATTCTTCTTTGGAACTCACAATCGAGGTTTTGCAGGTGGACTCAATGATTACTAACTTTCAAACGGAATAGTAGATAAGAAAAGTTATATGAGGTTCATGTTAGTTTTCACATTAACTGATAAATTTACTACTATAGTTTTATTTATTTATTATCTTCTATTCATTAACCACAATGTCAAATGTCTCAAATCTATCATTAGATTTATGTTATTTTTTTTTCATTTTTCTTCCACTTTAATTTATGTTACCTTTTTGACGATATATAGATCTTGATTATTACTGGTTCCTTTTAATAGATATATTAATACTTAAAAGCTTTTCTTTTGTTTCTTTAAAATTGCATATTACTGAACTTATGACATGGAAGTTCTATACAGTTTAAGGAACTTAGGAATCAAGTTTTAAAATACCTTGAAAAATATCAGAAAATCTTGACAAATATTATAAATAATAAGCAAAAATATCACAAATAATAAGCAAAAATATTATAAATAACAAGCAAAAAAAATATAAATAGTAAACAAAAATATTACAAATAACAAGCAAAAAAATTGGAAGAGAATTTTAATTGGTAGAGATCTGGTGAAGAAGAACCTGGGTATTGCAATAGGAGATGGAACATCAACCCCGATCTGGAGCTCCCCTTGGTTATCTCTAGAGAACCCGTTAGTGCCAATGGGACCAGCTACGTTCCAGACAAGAAACTGGCGAGTGGCAGACCTCCTCCTCCAAGACAAATCTGGTTGGGATAAGAGGAAAATAAGACGATCATTGCCAGCATATGAGAGCGAGATCCTCAAAATCCAACCAAGTACTCTAGGAGCACAAGATAAAGTTATATGGTTGCCTACAATATCAGGAAACTACTCTGCAAAAACGGGCTACTACGAAGCTGTCAAACACGTAGACCCTACAACTCTACAAAGAGCGAATCTGAGGGACCTAAATTCGCGCGCTGAAGTATGGGCTCTAAACACATCTCAGAAGATTAAAATGTTCCTATGGAAAGCCCTACATGAAGCTCTACCTGTGGGTGAAAACCTCATGAGGAGAATCCCGGAGTCGTTCTTTGAGTGCCCCCACTGCACAGAATCAGAATCAACAACCCACATGTTATTCCACTGTCAGTTTGTAAAGAAAATTTGGAACCTAGCACCCTTCACGCAACAAATAAGATCGGAGGAGATAGATGAAATACTAACTGGATTGCGACAAGGAAATACGTGGAGAAGCCTGCCTCCGGTGGGAGTGGACGCAACCCCTCTGTTCCACTGGATCTGCTGGGCAATTTGGTTTGCTAGAAATCAAAGGATCTTCAATAATAGAATCCTCACTGCAGAAGAAATTCTATCAAAAGCAATCCAGGGAGCTCGAGAATGGCAATCTGCCCAAGCCCAACAGGTCCACTCGAACCTGATCGATCGGAATCTCGCGGCACCGGCTAAGAAATCGGAGATGGTGGCAAACGCAATAACATGCAACTCTGACGCAGCATATAAACAATCGGCACACCATCAGAACTGGATCCTGTGTCCCGGCTCGATTACCCCTTGTAGCGGAAGCTCTAGCGATGAAAGCAGCAATGGGGCAAGCGCTGGATCTACACTTCGAGGAAGTAATCTGCAGATCCGATTCAGCAAAACTGATCAAAGCTCTCAAAGAAGAAGACGAGACACCTAAGGAAATCTATGGAACTGTTCAAGATATCAAAGCCCTTTCAATTTCTTTTCATGCAATTGATTTTGAGTTTACTTGAAGAGAGGATAAGGGTGAAGAGCTAATATACCCTTATTTGTTTCAAAATAGTCTCACTACCCCCTCTATGATCTCACTACCCTTCTCTTATTTTTCTCTCTATTTTACCCTCATCCTTTTTCTTCTTTAATTTAATAATATCTTCTTTCAACACAAATAAAATAAATAAAAAGAAAATAACAATCTAATTTAATTTTCAATTAATTTTAAACCATCTGCGGGTCCTACATCTTCATCTTCTTCATGGTTTCTCTTGCTCTTCATAACGCCATAGTCCTGATTTCTTTTGGATTATTGGGTTATTGAAATTCTTTGCTAAAAGTCTTACATCAGTAAATATCACTGGTTATAATCGTTAAATGTGCATCGAATTATCCCGAATCGTAGTAAATCATTGTAGATTCGTAGATAAATATAAATTTTCTGGGTACATAATCTGGGTATTACTGGACCAACTAGTATTACTAAGATAGCGGTATTACTGAGAGAAACTGGGGTACTGGATATTATTGGTTGAAGCTATGAACATTAGCGTATTGCAGAACGATTTATCCAGTACCACACAAGTCTAATTGGATTGTTCCTGTCCATATACAAATCTGGTTGTTATACAACCGGATTATTTCGAAAAGGAAGGAAAATCTAAAAAAAACCGGTTCCCGTCAGTTGGAGAACACCGAGGAAGAGGGAGAGGAATAGAAAGGGGAAGAGGAAGAAAATGGATTTTGTCATATTTGTATAGTGGTAATAGTGATGCTGGTTAAACTATGTAACTCGTTTGTGTTTATTTTGTGTCTTTGGAATACTAGGCACAACTGGTGCAACTGATAGTATTCAAGAGACAATTTTTATTTGATTTAAAAAAATTATTAGAAAAACAAACATTCAATATGAAACAAACAAATTTTTGTTAGATAAATAACTATTAAGTGGTTAAAAAACATGTATTAACTGGTTAACCTAAATTGATGGCATCATTATTTGTTATATGGACATTTACACAATAAACACCATACACTTCTATGAACACTTTCTTAATATTAACCATCATATGAAGCCAAAGACACACACAATGAGTTTCAAAACATTTTAATGCATACAAACCTCAGAATCAACAACATAATGACTAAAATCATCTGTAAAACTACAAATAGAAAATTCATTGTAGAGTAAAACTAAATAAAGTTGAAAACACCGAAAAGTACAACTATTTACAATTGGTACAACTAAAAAACTACGGATAACTAAGTGTAATTTTGGCGGCGCCCACAAAAGCAAAAAACGGCGCACATGTCAATTTGGCGGCACACATATTTTTTAGTTTTTTTTTGTCAATATATATATTTTCTTATTTATTTTAAACATAATTTTTACAAAACAATATAATTCTTTTTGTTAATTTTTATCAGGGTAGAACAACATATAATTAGTTTTATGTATAATCTAGTTAATTTAATTATATCAATACTACAAATTCAAATAAAAATACTACGGCTTAATCTAAGAAAAAAACCACCATAAATCTAAAAATAAAATAGTTCACTCCATAATATTTTGTTAGTTTTCTGGGATTCCCCTTGCTTCGTCGTCTCCCTGAGTAAACATAAGCAAATATATTTGATGATTAATTTGGGGATACAGAAACAGGTGATAAGTTGTTCGGTGTAAAAAATCAAAGATAATTGACCAATATTTTTAATATATCAGTCAAATCTATACGAGACAAATTTAAAAAAATTTGAAATTTTTTGTTTTGATTTAACCCAAAAAATATTACGAATAGGGCAAAGAATGAAGAATATGATTAAAAAAAATATAATAAGAGAATTTGCAGATTTTAGTTTAACCTACCTCTAATTTTGTGAGGATATGAGTTAATTTTAGTTTGGGTGGATGAAACAATTTTGAATTCTTCTAAATAACAAAAGAAATTATTGAGAAAAAAATAGTTGAACTCTGAATTAATTGGAAAAATATGTGAGAATAGCTGGCAAAAATTAAGTATAATTTTCTGATGATAAAAAGAAGAGATAGTCAAAAACGTGGCAGAGGATGAGACCACACAAAGTGGAGTGTGTTTTGTTGGTTTTGCCACGTAAGCCAAAAAAAAAATAACCCAATTTTATCTGGGTTTGGATGGGTGACCCGAATTTATCATGGTTGGATATGTAATATCATAAATTCATTAAGGGTCTAAAAGACTTTATCTATGTTTTGGTATTAAAAATAAATCAAAAAGAAATGATCAGTTATAAAGAGGGCATTTCAGCTCATTTTGTAAGCAAGAGGGGTATCTGAGCCATTGATCCAGAGGATAACTCTAAAGCAAGCTCTCTCGCGAAGAGAGCTCTTGCTGTGTATTTGGAAAACCCTTTTTAATTTTTAATGAATTAAGTATTTTGCCAAAAAAAAAAAACTATCTTAATTGTCAAAGAAAGGCATGTACTACTTACTAACCTTGATGATTGTTGTTATCCACAAACCCTTCTGATTCTTGTAAACCCAAATAACCATAGAATCTCTTTGCTGTTAAACTTATTTGAGATAACTTAGTCCGCAAGATGACATAATGCTAACACCCTTATAACTTAAACTTTTCTAAAACACATAAGGTAAATAGTATCGAGATCTAGAATTCACACAGACTTACATAGCCCAAAATACTTAGTCCACAACATACACATCTTGTATCTCAAGTTATCTCCAATAATATTCTACTTACAATAACAATCTTAAATATTTATGTGACAAGAATAAACTTTCTTAATGTCCATGTATAAAAAAAACATAAGAAATCTAGCTACTATCTATTCATGAAGACGTATGTAACAAGGGTGAAAGTTGAAATTGCGTGTAGGATTTTCCTACAGTTGAGTCAGAAACCTACAACATTAAACTCTATACTTGATGGTTTAGAAACGTGACTCTTTAATAAGCATCAAAAGAGTGAAAGATTATTACTAGTGTGACATAAGAATGTAAGAAATCTTCTTCTTTTTGTGCTTTGTTGTTGACCCCTAACCATATGAGTTATGATTTTTTCGGTCAATATGAAACAACTATGTGTCAAAGATAAAGCTGTTGTTGTTGTCAGTCTATGAAATTTTGAATTAGAGGAAGGAAGATCCACCAATCTCATATAGCACTAATCAGAAGCAGTGTCTCAAGTTTTGTAGCATTAGAGAGATTCATTATATTTTTCAATAAAAGGAAGAGCTCAATTTCCATCTTCTTGAGGTTGGAACAGTATAGTATTTGTTTTTGTAGCATTTGACGAAGTAAAGCGCACCCTTTAGATTTATTCTTGTCAGAATTACAAAAATAAATAATTTAGACAGAGCAGCTGTATTCGGTTTTGATTTTGTAAAGCTGGCTCTTTTCTGGTGATGAAGCACCTGAAGCTCCGAACATCATCGGAACCCATGAGAAGAAAATGATGGATTGTGCATCCTTCAAGCTCCGACATTTCCATTGTTAAAGACTGAGTCTCTTATACTGTTATACATATAACATTAGTATTTTTTAATATAATTTAATTGTAAGTTAAGATTAAACTAACTGTGTGGAGATAAGTGTGGTTTGAGTTTTTCATGTGTTTCTCAAAAATTCACTTGATAGATTCTTTTCATTCTCTTTTATCTTTTTTTCTATTTTAATTAATTTTAATATAAAAGACTCATTTATAAAATTAAAATAAAGGGGTTAGTAGGAGCTGGATTTATAAAGAGTTTGTTGATTTTAAAAGTTTAGAGATTTGTTAGATTTGTAAAGAGTTTTGTTACATTTTTTGAGAGTTTTGTGAATTTAGTAAGTCTTTCAAAGTTTGCCAAAAAAAAACAAGTTATATTTCAAATTACTTTATTATAATGATTTTGAGAGTCTCTTAGATATTCATAGTATTATGAATATCTTGTTTTATTAGTTAAATTATTAACAATCTATGTCTCAAAACACCTAATTTTAATAAAATGATAGAATCATTTAAAATCAAAATTTTTGAGTAACAATATATTATATACGGAATTTAAAAATCACTTTACCAATAACATTGGATTTTAATAAGAATTTTAAAATCCATGATCTAATAAGAACAAATTTTGAAATTTGTAACAATCCTTAAAATCTACCTACCAATAATTAATGTATCGAGATTAGTATTGGATTTATCATTTCTATCACATTTTTGGACCATTTTTCAAATCTATCTCCTTGAGATTTATATTTAATAATTTATTTGTCAGTTTGTCAAACACAAAGAAACTATTAAGTTTTATTTGTGTTTGAGGAAAGTGGAGTGTTTTGCGTACTTGTAATTGCTTCTGAAAGATATGGTTTGAGGAAGTGGAGTGTTTTGGTGGTGTTGTGCATGCAGAGATCAGATTGCATGGGGAAGCTGGGAGATTTGCAAGTTCATGCAAACTTGTTTTCCTTTAGAAATTAAAGAGCAAGAAAAAGATAACCAAAGGTTGAGGAAGTAAACAATACATTTATTTCTGCAACATTCTTTTCAAAAAATATATACCAAAGAAACACAGAAACAAATAAAACAAAGAGAGAAAATCAATAATTGTCAAAGAGGATGAGCAAAACATGATGAGTTCATACTTGACATAACACTAAAGAGCTTAACAAAGCAACCACATAAAAATGGTGGAAAGAAGTAAAAACATGTCCTAAAGAAGGCAGCCATGCATGACCAAGTCATGATGAAAATTCACTGTAACGCCACTTCCATCGGGAGTTTTTACCCAGTATCTAAGTAAGAAAAAATATTAAAAAAAGAAAAAGCTGGAGAGCGAAAAATAACCGTATCTTGTTTAAACAATTTCAGATACGTTTTTAAGAGATTTTAAGGGACGCTAATGATATATGTATACATACAAGTGGTTTAAAAAATCTAAAACTTATCTGCTTTTAAATTTTATTAAAATATTAATATCTTTTTTTTAGATACGGCTTTTACATCTTTTACAGATGGACATGCTCTAAGACATTCATAAATCGTCCTTTTTTCTTTGGGTGAGCTTTTCTCAAGAATTTGATGTATTCACCATAGTTGATCTGACCATCTCCATCAACATCAGCTCTTCGGATGAAATTACGAATGTCCTTATCGGTTACGTTCTTCCCAAGACCTGTCAACACATGTCGAAAGTCTGCTGCAGATATGAAACCTCTCCGGTCTTTATCGAAAATCCTAAATTGTAGCTTCATATTTTCCTCCGAATCAGTGTCTTCCATCGCAGCTTTAAGGCTAACAAATGCAAAAAAAAAGCAAAATCTCATTAAATTAAGAAAGACAAAAGCATTTGAGGCCATGATGAGAAATCCCTTACTTAGCCGTCATGATTTTGACGAATTCATCATAGCTGATCCGACCATCGCGATTAACATCAGCTGCTCGGATAAGCATACCAACCTTCTCATCGCTTACTTCATTCCCATCTTTTGTCATCGCATATCGAAGCTCTGCTGTAGTTATGAAACCATTCCCGTCTATATCGTAACTCCTAAAGGGTTCCTTGAGCTCTTCCACTTTCAGTTTGTTCGACACATCTGTGGAAAGCTTTTCGACCATCGCAGCTTCATCAGTCCTGACAAAAGGAAAAACAAAATCTTATTAAATTATCGAAAACATTCACCGTTGAATCACGGTTCATTGAGCCAAACGAGACAAGTAACAAACCAGGTAATAGAGTGTTCTCCTGCTATGGTTGCTACATCTGCCAGAGCTTTGCTCCATCTTTGCTTGTCTTCCTCTGTTCTCCCTTGGCAGCTTTTCTGGAATGCGATCCCGACATCTCCCCTCTGTTTCCGAACATCAGAAGGATCAACATCGTAAAAAACCGGCATCACGATCTGCCCCGAAGCTTCTTTGCAATTCAAGATTTCAACCAACTCATCTAAACACCAGCTGGAAGAAGCATAGTTCTTGGAGAGCACAACTATCGAGAGCCTTGATTCTCTAATGGCTTTCACGAGTTCACCTCCGATCGTACGGCCTCTCTCGATCTCATGATCCTTGAACGCTGTGATCCCGTTGATTGTAAAGTGTTTGTGTAAATGACTGAGAAATGTTCTACGGACGTCTGGGCCGTGGAAGCTGGGAAATACATGGAAGCTCTTAACGTGAGACGAGGAAGAAAAAATAAAATAAGAAGAAGAAGAAGACATGATGAGAGAGATAGAGTGTTAAAAGAGGGTTTGAAGAATGTATAACAGTGGATGAGGAAACAACAAGTCCCTTTGTTCATTTATAGAAGCAAATTGCGTAAATGCGTAAAGAGAAGAGGTCACCCACCATCTGCGTTGCAATTTGGTACATAAGATTGTTTTATGGGAATCTTGCAAAAATGACCCATAAATTCAAGTCAATTGCTAAACTAATCTCACATTTTACCACTTTTGAAATTAACTATTTTATCTCACTTATATCCTTATCAGTTCTATTTATTTACGAAAATACCATTAGATTATTGTTTTTTATTATTATTTCGGAAATCTATTTTACCAAACAATCCTCATCTTCCTTACTTATTCACGAAAATACCATCACCATCAATTCATTCAACCACCATTTTCAACCAATTTGAAGCTTTTATTGCTTCAAAGACCCATTTTTTAGCTTTGTAACCTCATTTCCTCTTCTCTTAACCTTCTACTCTTCCATTTTTTCACCATTTTCAGCACAAAAACTCTCTAATCTAAATTTTTAAAACTTGATGTTTTAATATATTGCCATATTTGGTGATTTGGTCTGGCAAATCGTTTGGGCTTGTTTGGTGGTGGCTGGAATCAAAGAAATCGGTGGTTGAATAAGTTAAATACCACTGGTAGGTGATTTTTCAGTCAATTTTCGTGAGTTTTCAGATATGTGCCGCGAAAGTAGACTTCTTAAGAAGTCTACTGTCGGTAGTAGACTTCAAAAGAAGTCTGCTGGTCAACACACATGTTAGTTTTGCAATTGACCGGGTGTACCAATTTCTGACAGTAGACTTCAATTGAAGTCTGCGCCATTTCCTTTGATAACAAAAAAAAATAGTGTAAACTTCAAAAGAAGTCTACGTAAAAAGGGATTAGTTTTGCAATTGACCAACGTTTGACTTTTTCATAAGAAGTCTACTTTGAAAGTAGACTTCTTAGAGGTTAGTTTTGCAATTGACCAATGTTGACTTTTTCGAGTAGACTTCGCTTGAAGTCTACTTTTCCGAGTAGACTTCAAAAAAAGTCTACTCGAAAATAAATTCAATGTTTGGTCAACCCCAAAACTAACCCAAGTAGACTTCGTTTGAAGTCTATTTTGAAAAGTCAACATTGGTCAATTGCAAAACTAACCTCTAAGAAGTCTACTTTAAAAGTAGACTTCTCCGAAGAAGTCTACTTCGGCAAGTAGACTTCTTACGAAAAAGTCAAAGTTTGGTCAATTGCAAAACTAACTTTTTTTTACGTAGACTTCTCAAGTAGACTTCTCGGAGTTGAAGAAGTCTACTCATCTTTTGGCAATTGCAAAAGTAACATAAAATATAGACTTCATACGAAGTCTACATTTGTAGACTTCATTGCAAGTCTACTTTTGTAAACTTCGTTGTTAGTCTACTATTTCAATTTTTTTTATAAACGCGTTTTTATCAAATTTACAACGAATTATTAAGATTTTTTTGGTTTTACGATTGTTTTAGTAAGTGTACTTACATTTGTATCAGTTTTACATGTTTATATTATATATATTTGGTGAAATCAAGTTTCTTGTTTTATTTGGTATTTAGCTTATTAGTCTGTAGACTTTGTTTGCAGTCTGCGACATTAATGTTTTTTAAAAATTAATTGATCAGATATTGTAACAAATAAAATTTATTCTTTGACTCTTAAGTGTGTATTATTTATTGTTCTTACTTATGTAGGAGTTTGACATGTTTATTTGTTATAGTTTAGCTTTAATTAATTTTCTTGTTCTAATTGGTATTTAGCTTATTAGTCCGTAGACTTCACTTGAAGTCTACATAGTAGACTTCGTTTGCAGTCTGCGACATTAATTTTTTTTATAAATTTAATTGATCAGATATTTGTAACAAATAAAATTTATCATTTGACTCTTAAGTGTGTGATATTTATTGTTCTTGCTTATGTATGAGTTTGAATTTTTTTTTTGTTACAGTTTAGCTTTAACTAATTTTTTTCTTTTATTTGGTATTTAGCTTAATAGTCTGCAGACTTCATTTGAAGTCTACATAGTAGACTACGTTTGCAGTCTACTTTTTCGACAATGATTTCTAATGTGGTTTGAATTTTGTTTTCTTACAGAGAATGGTTCACATACCCACTGTTTATTGAGAATGTGTGAAGAAAGACTAGTTGTGGTAGTTCTAAGTAGTTTTACATGTTTTTTTTGTTATGAGTTTTACATGTTTTTGTATAGTTAAATTGAATTAATTTTCTTGTGTTATTAGAGGTTCAAAGATGGTGATGACTAAGTCTGACAAAGAAGTCTGCATATAAAATCTGAATATGATAAAACACACATAATTTAAGAATATATAAAAATAATATTAATTGCAATCCAATTTTACATATAAAGTAGACCTTCTAATCAAACAAACATTTAAAGATCACTAATTATAAATCTTAAAATTAGCATATAAAAATAAAATATCTGAAATAGATGTATGTGACTGAAGTCTGCTCGAGAAATCTGCAGCTGAAGTCTGCTTCCAACAAAAACAAAAGAGAAATAAATAAGCTCCAGTCGGCACAATAAAAAAAATGTTAAAATTCATATTTCAACAAAATCTGCTATATTTACAAACATCATATCTGCAGCAAAAAGAAAAAAAAGAAATCAGCTATGCAACAAAAAAATTATAGATCTGCAACAAAATAAACAAAATTCAGATCTGCAACAAATTCTACAAATTTTATACCATAAGAAGTGCATATTTGCAAGAATAAACTCATATCTACAACAAGAAGCTCAAATATGTAATAATAAACCCAGATTTACAATATGAACACAAAACAAACAACAAAAGAAACACAAAACCTCAGATTTGCTTACCAACACCATAATTGAGATAGGGAGGATGGAGGATAGAGATGGGTTTGATGGCAAGAGAGGAAGGAGAAGAGATTCATGGCCAGAGAGGAGGTAGAGGAGAGAGAGGCGTTAATCTCCTTATATATGTAGGAAAAGTTTCGGTTAAATAGACTTCTTAAGAAGTCTACTGGAGAAGTCTACTCGAAATGTCTACTTCGGTAATTTTTTTCGATTTCGATTCCCGCCTAATTTGTTCCGATTCCCGCCCAATTTGTTAAATAATTTTGATTTCCCGCTATGTTTTTTTTAAGTCTACTGGAGAAGTCTACCCGAGAAGTCTACCTGAGAAGTCTACTGCATACGTATGTTTTCTGTAGTAGACTTCTTTAGTAGACTTCTAAGGGGTTATATGTTTTCTAGTTAATTTTCTTTCTGCATTTAAGTTGATTCATTTGTATGAAATTTTGTATTCTATACATGTCAAATATATATGTCTTACTTATGTTTACCAATTTTTTAGAAATTTATTTATTTTATATTTTCTAATTAATTTTTAAAAAACTAATTATGTAGTAGACTTCTTTTGAAGTCTACATACAACGATTGTAGACTTCTTACGTAGACTTCTCGAAGGATAAAATCGTAACTGTGGCAGACGTTTTTTGTTTAGTCACAAAGGACTGAGCTGTAATTTTACCACCCCTTTGGGTTAGTTTTGCCAAACATTCAATAAAGGGTTTACATATTGAGAAAAAATCAACTTTTAGGTTATAAAGAGAAATTCCCCCTTGTTTTATTAATCACCCAAAACATGTCTTACACACAAACATCATACCAAAAGAAGTGTTACAATACATCAAGTACTCTTACAAAACATCAAGTCTTATACTACTAACATTAATAAATTATACTAACGTGTTATACAATTGTATAAAACGGTACCATGGTTGATGGTTGCAGGGTCACCTAAAGCATAGACATTGTCGCATCCATTGCCAAGACCCGCCTCTGCCCCTGTAGTAATCATATATTCATAAAGGAAAGACTTTATATATGTCTTCCAAAATTTTAACAGATTCTGTGAAAATTTTCCAAATTTATCAGTAGATTTAAATTATGTTAGTGTGTTATTTTTTTAGCAGACTCTTCAAACTTATGGCAGATTTAACTAAGGTTTTATCGGTAGATTTGAATTATGTTAGTGTGTTATCTTTTTAGCAGACTCTTCAAACTTATGGCAGATTTAACTAAGGTTTTCTATGGTAAACTTGGATTTAGTTTGCTAGTCTGACGTTTCTTTTGTTTTTTCAAATTTTTAGCAGTTTGGAATTCAATCCATCTGTCTACTATTTGTTTGGCACAGTTCTATTTTTTAGCAGATTCCACAAAAAACTTCCAAATTTATTGACAGATTTGAATACCAAACTGTTAGTCTACC